ATTTGCTAATAATTCGGGATCTGTAATGGTGGCGTGCATTTTTTGAGTGCTTTGAAGTTCATCATGCCCAAGATAGTGAAGGTTGCGGCCTTTGTCAATGGAGAGGAATGAAAATGTTGAGCACCTTTTAGAGTTTGGGCATGAAAGAGAATTATCAAAACCCTAAAAATCAAAATTCTAAAATTGAAATTCTCTCCTAGCTGAACTTTGAGAAATCTAAAGGACTACACCTAACTTTACAACTATTTAACAAACTGCCCCTTTTCAATTCATGGTCATATGAATTTTGATGGGTATTTTGAATTTTTCAACTATCCCAGTTCATGGTCATATGGATTTTGATGGGTATTTTGAATTAAATTAAAAGACATGATGTAAAATTGTTAAATAGTTGATCCTTATTTTGATAAATTTTCCCTTTCTCATGTCAAAAAGATAATATGCTCTCGTGGGAGCAAAATGCACATTTGTTCCCTCGCATAAAACTTTCGATAAAGAGTATTTTTAGGACCTCGGTGTATTGTGATGTGACCAACTGAACATTTGGATCGACCTCTTGTAAAAGAATACGCACTCTTGCAATTCTCAAACCCTAAGATTGAACGCAAATATACCAATGTTGGATGGTCAGATCTAAATATATAACTCAATCCATTTCTTTTTTTTGGAACTACCTGTGTAGTGATTTACAGTTGATAGCATAATTCCAAATCAAGTAAAACCAACGTGTTTTTTCCCCAAAAGAGCAAAAATACAATTTGCTCCAGCAAGACTATGCACTAAACTCTCTCAACCCAACCGCTCATACTTCTGTTAACCTTGTTTTTTGCTTTCCCTTTTTACTTTACAACATTGTTTCCATTCTCAATATTTGGTCTGAGAAAGCTAAATGATTGGTGATTGTGGCTCCCTCGAAGGCATTCACCAATGGGGAAAGACCTGGGTCGTGGTGGTAGCACCCCTACACCCTAGTCATCATATTGTAGTTTTCATTTTCACTGTGAAATGTTTTGGGGAGTTGAAAATAAGTATAGATCCGGAGATTCCCCAATGGGTCAATCTTTTGAACTGCTGCTGAATCCATGGGCAGGCAAGAGACAACCTGACAAAGTGAAACATCTTAGTAGTCAGAGGAAAATAAAGCAAAAGTAATTCCCGTAGTAGCAGCGAGCGAAATGGGAGCAGCCTAAACCGTGAAAACGGGGTTGTGGGAGAACAATACAAGCGTCGTGTTGTTAGGCGAAGCGGTTGAGTACTACACCCTAGATGGCGAGAGTCCAATAACCGAAAGCATCACTGGCTTAACTTCTAAATTATTTGGAAAAATATGTAAGGCCCCATCTTCCCCACTAAATTAATAAATAAATAAATGCATTCACCTATGCCATGCTTGTGCTCGCCCACGTACAGAGAGAGAAAAGAGAGAGAGAGAGAGTCACGTTTTTGTCACTCCATTTCCCTCATTCAAGAAAAATTTCAAAATTAAATGCATCTATTCTCACAGTGCATTATTTTCACACGTTTTTGTACTTACTAATAAAAGCACAAGCACGTGGTAATCGAACTCGTACTTCGCTAATAAGTTGTTCGGAAATTTATCAAAATGCACCTAACATTACAAATATTCAATATAGTACCTTAGGTATATTTTGATAATTTTCCTTCTTGACCAACATATTTTGATAAATTTCAAGACCCATTTAGATGTGTCATTTGATGGGCTATTTGAAAATTGATCAAAAGAATATGAGTAATATGAAATTAAATAAAACTAGGTAGTAGTAAGATCATAGGTGTAGTTTGATAAATTTTCCTAATTTATTTGAAAGATAAAACTCATAAAAATAAATAAATAGATACCTAGTCAATCTCATTATAATAAGTAATAAACACTGAGGAATCCACGACAAAAATCATTGATACTGAAAATACATAGATTTTTTTGGATTTCAAATATCTAATATTCTTAATTTCCTCTTATAAACACGGGGCCAAGGTGAAGTTTGATAACTTTTAATGCAGATTCCCTCGATGAAAACTACAACAATAGGGAAAATCATGCACTTTCACCACTTTTGGTGGTTATCAAACGGCCCCTGATACCCGAGCATTAGTGGTTGAAGCTGGTTTTCTAACATGAAGGCCTCAATCTAGGGCATGTATAATCTCAATTTTTTGGTCATTTCTCCTCAAATTAAAGCCTTCTTTTTTTTTTGTTAACTTTCTAAATCATGCTACTTAGATCATTGAAACTAATATGCTACGTGATGTGTCAATAGTCAATTGGCCTCTAAAATGTGGACGGTTTCCTTATTCCACGTGTCAAAATGCGTTAGCAAACAACAAATCGTGTCATCTACTGGTTGTTGACATATTGACGGTTGAGACTGCATGTAACAAACTTTTTGTATGCTACAGTTTGCATGGCATGCAGTACCCAGTAGTCTAAATAAATAATTGGTTGAATGCCACATTTTCCTTTACACCACATAGAATATTTGTAGATTCATTTCAATTAAAGCATGGGCTGTAAATAAATTGTGCATGTAGTAGTGTTGCCACTCATTTCCTTGAGAAAAAAAAATATTGAATATATAAAAAGTTGTAGATCGGATAGGACTGTGAATCGCCTGATCCAAAATCAGGGAACCCAAATTGCCTGGAGCCTACAGTTCTTTTGCCTATGTGTTTAGTTTATTTGTTAAATATAGACCGTTCTGACTCAAGAATCACTTAGACTAGGAGGAACCAGAATCAAACTCATGGTGATTCGGCCCCGATTCTGATTTTCAAAACACATAATCATAATATATTGGTTATGTTACTAAGATGGGTGGAGCAATGGGGATTGTCTACAAAGAGACCATTTATCTATTGTACATGGAGGTCACAATCATTCCCACTTATTAGATGTAAAATTTGATGCCTTGGGGTGAGTCATGTTTGAGAATTTGTTTCTTAAAGCAAAATGTCTATTCCATAACACTCTTACAAGCACCCGTTTTGAAACTTAAAAGACAAGACTGATTGTGACCTCTATGTACAAAAAATAAGTTTATTTATAGATAATCACGAACCAATACCGCGTTATAAAAATTGTATCTTCCTACATCTACAATACTTCTTTAATCCTCTCAATATGATCAGCTCATCAACACAAAGCTCAATAACAATAGCTCGCTAGCTATTTTTATCGATGGAAAAAATCACGAATGTGTTATTGCATTGTTATTAAAATTGTTTATCAAAACGCACATAATTGATCAACTATTTAACAATTTGATTTAATTTCAAAACATTTTTTAAAACATGTTTTAATTGGCACTTTTAGATCTAATGAAAAAATTCCATATTAGTAGGTATAAGAATATTTTCACACATTTAACTGACAAATAATATAAAAAGATGGGCTGAGACAATTTGATGTGAAAATATTGCCACACTTCTTAACGCACGTTTGGTATGCGTCAAAATATTTATAGGAAATATTTTTACGTAAAAAAACTATTTATTTTCACACAAATTAGTCCCAATGCATTTTTCGTACCAATTGATATAAAAATACTCATGTATCTAATCACATGATGAGGCCTTTTCACGCACACCAAATATGCCTATATGAGGGAATTCAGTCGCATAAAAATATTTTCACACAAAATAAATGTTCCCTTAATTTCAAAATACCTAAAAAAAAAAAAAGAAGCTAGAAAAAAAATTTAAATTGCTGAAAATGTAAACATATTTGGGCCCAACCAAGATATGGTACGGAAGAAAGAGTGATAGTTTAGGGAGCAAAAGAGAGAAAAACAGAGTTTAAACAGGGAAAGGGGAAGGGAAAGAGAGAGAGAGACATTAAAGAGCAAAAGGGCCTTTTTCTTCTCCCACACAGGGCAAAAAAGAGACCCTGACCGGGAATCCCGGTCAGCCTGCCCGTGACGCGGGTCCCACAACAAACCCAAACGAAGAAGACGATAAGAACTCCACCCTCCATTTCTCACCTCCTGCCCGTTCTGCCCGTTCAGGCCCTATTTTTAGCCCTAGAGGACATTGGATACCCATGCCTTTGCTTTAATCGTTCCTGTGCCCTTGTCTGCACTTTTATCTTTCAACATTTGGCCCCCTCCATTTTCTTAAAATGACAGTGCACCCTCAACATCTTATTTTCAATGAATGAATGTTGCACCATCTTTGTTGGTTGAAATTAACACATAAAAAGCCCACACCCTTCACATCAAAAGTAACATGAATTTTGGATTCACCACTTCTCTCTCATTGATATCTTAAAAAAAAAAAAACACTAGTCTCTCTGTCTCATTGACTATTTGTTTCTCTCATTTGTAGCTTATACGTGTGAACTCTCATTGAATGCGTCTCTAAATTATTTATTTAGATAGAAAACAAGGGATGATAATGCCTTTTTCGAAGGTAAAACAACATTTAGTATGCCATTTCATAAAATGTGAAATGACATATTAGATAGCGATGAATTATCTGACAAAAGCATTTGCCTGTAATCGTGGATTACCATATATGACAAGAATCCATGCTTTTATTATTGGCTTGATGAATTCTTTTTGGTGAGGGGTTAATGCAACTAACAAGTGTATTGAACTTTTAATTCATGGTCAATGAATTTGAGGAAACTGCAGAGTCATTAACCTAGTTCCTAATGGGGCTCAGATCGTTATGACAATTAACAACACTAAATAAGTTATAAAATCTGATCATAATTCAACAACTTGAAACCGAACCGATCGGCAACGCTCCAAATTACAGCAAATCTTGTATTCAGATCTCGAACAACAGTTCTCCAGTCGCCCGGTGTTGACAACGATACAATGGTCATTTACGACTTCCTAGGACCCTCCGTGCTACCTCCAAAAGATTATGCCAGGTCAGGACGATTTGGTCACTCACGAGAAAGACAAGGGCTCATGGGTCATTTTCAACCCCCACTTATTATTCCCAAGCAAAAATATTCCCCCTTTGTTTCCTGCATTTCATCATCTCCATAAACCCAACATTATATATACATTTTTTTTGTTTATTTTAATATTTTTATTTTTACCGCTTCGGGTTCTCCGACTCTCTTCACTCACGCTTATGTGGAGGGTTTTTTTTTATATTCAGAATCCAGGCTCGATCCAACAATGGCGGATTTTCCCTCATCATTTGCTCCATCATTTCACCATTAACCTAACTTCCATGTAAGTTCAAAACCCTAATTGTTATTCTTCCTCTTCTATTTCTATCTCTGTCTTTTTCCCCATTTTTTCTGAATTAATTTTCTCGTGGTTGTTTATTTTATCTGTGGATCTTCGTTTAGTGGTTCTAGTTTATTGTTTTGGGTTCATGGGGTGGTCTGTGATCGGAATTAGGGTACGGTTATTTTGTGGTGGTTTCTGAGTGTGAGGGTGTCGGGTGGTATTTGGCGATGGCTAGGGTTAGATCTGACGTGGTATTTTGTTTGGGGAATTGGGTTCTTAGTTTGTGAATGATTTGGGGTTTCTATGAATTGTTTTGCAGTGGAATTTTTGTGTGTTTATGTATTGTTTCTTTTATCTGGATGTTGCAGAGTTGGTGTACGAGGATTGTGGTGGAGCTTTGCATGTTTATCTACATTGAGGAGATGAATTATTGAATTGATATACACCAATTGGGTGGAGTTAGTGTATCAATATTGAGTATTCAGCATTTGGGCTTTGGAGAATTTCGTATTTAGGGTTTGTAGATGTGTTATTCCGAGATAGGGTGGTTATAATTGGGTGTTTCCGGCTGTTGTTCTATGCTATTCGCTAAATTTTTTCTGTAATTTCAGGATTTCAGCCTTATTTTTGCCGCCAATTTCTTCTTAAAAGCCAATCTTTTGGGTAATTAGTAGCGGCGTCTCTCCACGGGGTTGTATCTTTCGATCTGCTGGCTTGGCATGTGTGATTAGAAAAGGGGTCCTCCTGTCACAATGTGGAGGATCCCTGCTGGCCGTGATACTACTTATGGTTTCTCTCAGTGACTTGGATGTGACTATTTATTGAAAATCCATGTTTTATCGGATTTTATTGGGTTACTAAAGTGGGTTTTCAGGGTAGATGGAGAGGGGATATCATGGGTTTTAAGGCCGTTTGCATTTGGTAATATAGACCAGTAGTTTTGAGCTTTCGGAGAAGGTGGAATTATTTGAATATTTTGAGGATTATTGGGTTACTTTGAAATTTGGAGCAAATGTTCTCGCCTGGCGGTGATCCTGCACCTGAAAGCAGCGGAGTGGTTGTCATTCCGACCCGTTTTGTTTGGCCTTATGGTGGGAGAAAGGTCTTCCTCTGTGGTTCTTTTCTAAGGTCAGTCTTGAAATTTATTTTTTTGGGCCATTATTTGCCTTATGGGTTAGTTTCGGTTTTTTTTCTTTTTCCCCTGAATCAAAGAACCCACAAAGGGTATGTTCTTCTGTGCTTTTTGGTATGACCTTAAACCAGAACCATTACTATTTTTTCTCCTTGTCTTAAAAACAATGGTTGCTTTTGCCTTTCATCATACTGCTACTTATTGTGACCGATTCAGTTCCATACATTTTGAAGCACAACATTTTACATGGTTCAATTGCTTGAGATTCATTTAGCCTCTTTTCCAACTATCATCTCTCTCTCTCTCTCTCTCTCTCTCTCTCTCTCTCTCTCTCTACACACACACACACACACACACACACACACAC